CCTCTTAAGTTCCCACCTTGTGCATGTTCACTGGATCCGGAGGTTCGTAACGTTGGCTTGCAAGCCGCACAAGGCCATCTCGATAAACATGAATGCGAAGAGGTGAGACGGACTCGAGGACCACGTAGATACGCAAGTCGGCCTTGTAGCCGTCCACCAGCACGGGGTGATCCTCGTAACGCTGCACCACTTCTTTAGCAGGCAGGTAGCCCAGACTATCTGCAGTCAGGCAGGAGGGTGGCTCGCGGGCTTGACAGGTCTGTTTCCGTGTCTGGGGGACTTGAGACGCGAGAGCGACGTCCACCTCATGATCACAGTACTCGCGTGGTGATTGGACAAGGTAAATGCCTTTGCCCTGGGTACCCGCACTGGGCTTCACGATGTAGGTGACGCAACCAGGAATTTCTGTGCACAGCAGTAGAGGGTAAGTCAAACATTTTTTATAAAAAACGCCACGGTAGAAAACAAACTTCAGATTTGTGTAGCACGGGACAGGTAGTAATAGAGGTTACATTGATGGGGCACATAAGGGGAGGGAAAATAATTTAAAAAATGTTTAGCATATAAAAGTAGTAAATAATAGGCACAATTATTGAAATAACCAAATGTATGGTAACAAAAACGCGTGCGATATATACAATGGAAAAAAAAACCAATAGGAACCAAGGAAAGGGCAAATAATACGCGCTAATTGGCCACAATTACTTGACTGACAATCGTATATAGATTCTATATTGAGTTTTTGTAATTAACGTCAAACCATGAAAGATAGGCTATGTCTCATTTTTTAAATGTGCAATAGCTTCTTATGCATTTGGACAGATATCGTAGTACGGTTAGCCGAAAAGCAACCATTGTTCGCCCAAGGTTTCTATATGGGATGGGCAATGGAGTGTTAAATACTGAAAACGTACAAAAGGAAATCCGTAGAAACATAATGTATGAAAAACACTGTAACCTACAGTTATATGAAATAATTAATCAATACTGGTTTACTAAAATAAGTAATTAGTGTGTATAGAATCTTTGCCGAGCGTAGTTTCCAAAACGGAGATAAAATAAAGTTTATTCTTGATCAAATCTTTGCAAAACAGGATATGAGCCACCTACTCTCCTGACTCATCGTTATCACTTTCGCGTGAACCATGTTGATTCTTCATCGGAATCACACTTATGACTGGAACGCGGAGGTTCATTCTTACTAGATTTGTTATTCCATTTAAGATTTGGTTAAGCATTATTTATGGAACCATCTTAATACATACCACTTTTCCAAGTTACCTCCTTCAATCTGATCCATATCCTATTAAAATTCATCATGAATCTTCCGTCAACTATGATTGAAACTTTGTGGTGGTTTTACCCACTTTAGCCCACCTACCTCATACCATGGAGTTAATCCGTTCCGATACGAGCTCGCCATGTGAAACGCTCCTTTTGCGCAACACCATCAGTTCACTGCTCGGCCGCAAGCGGCCGAGAACTCACGCCCTGGGAGCAAGATTCGACGGCGGACACAGGCACACAAACGCACTGACAACTCGTTAACTGGGCGGCAGCTCGCCAATTGAAGCACATTTTCTACGACTGGTTCACTCGTTACTTGAAATGCTCGTACATGGGGCTGCTCCTCATCCGAGCTTCTACTGTATTAGGATTTCTGTGACCAAATTAAATTAAATTGTTCTGCTGGGGAAAAATGTAAAACACTTTATTATCCAGAGTCTGAGTTATGAGGAAGAAAACCACCCATAATATCCTGGTCGTGTATCTATAGTGCAAATTGTTTAGTCCCACAGTGCATTGTCGACTCTGTCTACTTTTTTAACTTCGAATAAATCCTGAAGGAGGAAAAAAATTCAAGTGGAAAAGAGGAAGAACAAGGACCGACCTGAGAACATGGAAATCCAGCTAATAGAATGTATTTGGAAACTAAAAGACCAAGGTTTCCTTAACGAACGAGAGATTGTAATTCCCAAGCTCACAAATAAGGCTCTCTAAAGCTTTATAATTTAACAAATTGTCATGAACTGGCTCCTGCTATGCGGCCCATAGTAAACCCGTGCAATTCGCTTTATCACACGGCCGCAAAGCGGCTAGCAGGAGGACTCAAACTGATTCGACGCGCATAGTATACGGACCGTTTCCGATTCATTGACTTCGTAACAAATACGAATCACGACGGGAAAAAGATGCTATCATTGGATGTTTTGCCTTTGTTCAGTAGTATTTCTCCCACAGAGGTGACTTCCTAATTAGCTAGTGAACTTCTATAAAATCGTTTGGAGAAAGAATGCTTCATTTTGAAAGTTATATCCAAATATTCATGGCAGGACTTTATATCTCAAACATTAAGTTTTTCGAGTTGAAGTTTACTAAATCATGCCCTTTCAAACTCAAGCTGCTGCTATGTACAGGTTCTATTAGTCAGATGAATATGTACACATCCAAGCGGATATGAGAACACCACCCTGCCCGGCTAAATCAGGCACGGGAACGTCTATATCTAGCACAATTTTGGCTTATCTGGTTGACAGCAGCCATCAGATAAACGTCAACCAAGCCTTCCGAGTCAATATTTAGAGCATTGGAATTCTGGTCGAGCTCAATTCGAACGGTGGTGAATCAGTTGGGATTTGTATGACTGGTTAATGACAGCTAATGAACCAGAAATTGCCATTCTATTCTCCCTTATCTTTGCCAGCAATGTTAATCTGCCTACACTATAAGCCGCCGTGCGGCTGCTGGCGGGACTAGAAAGTGAGCCTCAAAACACAGCGGAAGAGATTTCCGTTAGCGATCGGTGAGCGTTCATCAAAGAATTTTGAGTCATCCATAAAGTGCCAGCGGGTACTTGGAACTGAAGCCGCAGTAGCCATGCAGTAAGCCAATCCTATGTTTGAAGAGGGCATTAATTCTATAAGCTTTCCAGAAGCCTGTTCAGAATCCCTAAAGGAGACAAAATCAGCAAGGTCGGAAGAATGGAGGTCAATTAACATATACTACCCGTGTGTTTTATAAAGCCGAGCAAAGCATGTGCGAGTATGTACAAGATTGGACCGATCAGAAAGTGCTCTCAGATGGGTAACAGCTCGACTGACTTTCTGACTCATCTAATTGGAGAAGTAGAGTCCCAATCCTGGCGGCTGCATACACGTCATCACATACATTGCATGTGGGCGGATCGATAGCGTGGCGTGGGGGCCAATCGGTTAGGGCAACCCCTAACAGTTCAGACAAGTCTTCGGACCCCTCTGGCTCAAGGTCAACCCAGCTCGTTCGTTATCGCATCCTGTAATATCAGGAAACGTAAGCAGGACTCTTTGTCACAATCTCTACCCTTCCTCCTTTCTGACATAAAGTATAATTATCCCTGACCTGGTCGAACAGCCTCAATCGTTTCCCAAACGTCTAGTGTCTCTTGACTGTTTTAAATTTCGCTGGTTTACCTTAACTATATGAACTATACTTCTCGGGCAAACAAAACTAACGTTCATGCACACCAATGCACAGAGTATGCTATCAAAGCTAGACGAGCTGAAGATGCATGCCCGTGAACTATCACCAGATATAATTTCCCTAACGGAAACTTGGTTGTCTGAACACGTAGATGACGGTGAGGTAAACATGCCTGGCTACCAAATGTTCACAAAAGACAAGGAAGGACGTCAAGGCGGTGGCGTGGTGACATACGTGAAAAATGGACTCATCGTTTTCGACAAAATGTATAAAATGGCGTGTACTTCCGAGGCGATCTGGCTGTCCATTAAAGTACCAGGTGCATCCAACCTCGATGTCCTGACACTCTACCGACCACCGAGAAGAGATTCTGTAGTGGATGCCTCTTTGCTAGAGGAGCTTTAAAATATTACTGCACGGTCTGATATCCTGATTTTGGGGGACTTTAAAGCGCCTCACATCAACTAGGCTCGGCCTGCACACATAGCTCCGGTCTGCCCTTCGACAGTTGCCTTCTGTGCATGACTCTAAAGTTATTTCTCACGCAACACGTCACGTTTTTAACAAGGATGCGCGATTGCCAACAGTCCAATTGTCTGGACCTCGTTCTCGCGAAATCGCAGAACAGCATCGACGAAGTGTCATGTCTACCTCCGATAGGTAAAAGTGACCACGTTGTACTGCTATGGAAGTACTCGTTATTCTCAATACCCGAGAGAACCTCAACAGCCAGAAGAAATATTTGGCGAGGTGATTTTGATCAAATGATGGCCGAACTCACGCGCACCGAGTGGGAACCTCTATTTTTTGGAAACATAACCGCGGACTGGGAAAAGTTCCGGGACACACTGCTCAGGCTCATGGAAAACCGTTGTTCAAATCCACGAAAAAGGTTGACCACCAGACCGCAATGGCTTACACAGGCCTTAAAAATAGAAGTCAACAAAACGCGGAAGCTGTGGAAAAAACGCTTACGGACAGGACTTTTATATCTATATGTGCGTAAAAAACTCAAAGAAATCGGTTCAAGGGTCTTATTCTTTGAACAAGACGGGATTTCGAAGCAGACCTGCTAAACCGTGTCACAGTGAACTCCAAACTGTTTCACAGTTACCTCAGACAGAGGGTCGAAAACAAGGATCCGATACCCCTGCTGAGGACCACTGAGGGTAGAGACCTGATAAAAGATGAGGCAAAAGATGATCATCTTTGAACATTTTTCCGGTCAGTTTTCACAAAGGAAACGGCATACGATTGAAAAGTCGTGTCGGCAAACAGCTGTTTTCGGTCATTCACTTCAG